AATTCAAAATTCGGAAATGCAAAAAAAAATGAATATTTTAGAGAAGAAGAGAATTCAATTAAAACCAACGAAGCTATAATTGTTTCCTATTAATTTCCCATGTATTTTTCGATCGTTACTATGGCAGCTTATGATATAGTCGTCCGATTTCTATAAAATTAAATTCGAAATTCAGAACTATTAAAAAAATGTTATTACCAAGCGTTGAAGGTTATATGTTTAAAAGCATCGAAGCTATATGGGGTCTATATGGAAACGTATCCTTCACTGCGTTGCAAACTTCTGCCTGAAATCATTATTCCCTCTGCAAGGGTATAAAAATATTCGGATTTCCCTTCTGCTTTTACATTATGTTTAAGAAAAGAAAGAAACCGTCCCCTGGGATGATTTTTACATTTTTTAGCTTTAAATATTTTTTTATCCGCTTAAAATCAAAAATTATTTGTTTTTAGGATTGTCCGATTGACAACTTTTTTTGTATAACCTTAAGATGTGGACACATCGAAGACATATCAGTAAAAAATTTTGAAAAATTCAACTTTTAATTTTTTTGAAACTTAGTGAAAACTAAAAAGTAGTATATCTTTCAAAGTTTTGACTTTTTTAAAATTCTAAAGGGTGGGCAATGATGGTCAATCGGGGGTCAAACGATTTGACAAAAAAAAGTTTTGAAAAATTCGACTTTAAAATTTTCGACTTTTGAGAAAAACGAAAAAATGTTGTATTTTCTAAAGTTTTGACTTTTTCAAAATTCTAAAAGGTGGGCAATGATGGTCAATCGGGGGTCAAACGAATGGACAAAAAAAAGTTTTGAAAAATTCGACTTTAAAATTTTCGACTTTTGAGAAAAACGAAAAAGTGTTGTATTTTCTAAAGTTTTGACTTTTTCAAAATTCTAAAAGGTGGGCAATGATGGTCAATCGGGAATCAAACGAATGGACAAAAAAAAGTTTTGAAAAATTCGACTTTAAAATTTTCGACTTTTGAGAAAAACGGAAAATGGTTACAGTTTCCAAAGTTTTGACTTTTTCAAAATTCTAAAAGGTGGGCAATGGTGGTCAAATGGGGGTCAAACGATTCCACAAAAAAAAATTTGAAAAAGTCAAATTTTTGATTTTCGAAAATTTTCGAAATTCGATATTTTTGAAACTGGACGTGGTCAAAAAAAACTAAAGGGTGGGCAAAAGTGGTCAAATGGGGGTCAAACGATTCCCGTTTTCAAAATTCGAATTTGTCATTTTACTCGACCCAGCTTCTCTGAGCTCATAGTTTGCATATATGTAACTCTAATGAGTCATCGAAAGTACTTTTCGTTGACTCAGCTCTACTTATCCTGATTTTTACTCAAGATACGGAAACCATGTGACTTTATTCAACATTTCACCATTGATTTTAATATTTTTTGGCCACCAATTTTGAAATAATGGTTAATTATCCAACATCTACTGTATTTCCTCCTGAAGATAGGGCAACAAGTTATCGCTTATCAGTTAGTTAATCCCTTATAAACAAGCCAACATTACGAAATGCTAAAAAAAATGTTCATATACACAATCTGAACAATAACCTTGATAAGGTCCCATTTATTTATTGATTAATAAATAATGCTGGCCAAAACTGTTGTCGCGATACAATTAAACAATGTGAAAATTTAAATAGGCGACGATTCTAATGGCGCCTAATGGCCCGGAAAATCGATTTCACCTTAAACAAAACCTAATGACTCTTTGTCACGCGTCAACGCGAAGAAGACAGCGCGAAAATCGAAGCAATAACAACAAATCGAATTAGATTGGCTGCAACGCCTACACCAAATGAATTCCAAGGGTGAATTCCTCTGCTCCGCTTTCCAAATCGAGTTTAAACCGAAATTCCTCAACGATTTTCCCCAGTCAATAATAATAAAAATAATAATAACAATCAATCAACCGGTGAATGGAAAACATTTCCAGTGTAAACATTGCCAACAAGTCTTTGTATAACTCCGCTAAACCTCGTATCGCGTGTAAACAGTGTAAATATCGATAACATTCTCGGTACAGTGTAGAAATAAGGTCAGCGTAGATTAGGAAATTGCAGCGAGACGAGCACTATAGTAAAAGATATTCGTTAAGAAAATGTCGCTATCCAAGAAATATAGTTTTATTTCAGCAGAAAAACATCATTAGGATTTCTATGAAATTTATTAGTTCAATTGAAAAAACATTTTGAGTATTTGGTAATAGTCTAGAAGAGCGGCCTGAGCACCAAAAACCGCGAAAAAATTACCCTCGATGGACCGCGATTTCTTAGGAATTTACGTGCAGAAGATTATTTGCGGAAATGCATGGTTCTCTTGTAATTGCATTTCAAAGTTGCGTGTTTTGCTATAAAAACAAAGTAGGATTTTGAGGTGTTTTGTGTCATTTTGCTATAAAAACAATGTAGCATTTTCTAGGAATTTATGGGTTTGCTATAAAAAACAAGTAGGCTTTTGTTGCTTAATCAGAAATGGCACTTTTGATTTTTGTTTACTATGGATTCCTGCAACGGGTGCACTATTTCTTATAAAGACTTTCTTGCCATGGACGAAGAAGAAGTGTTTGCATTTCTGCAGAGACATGGAGTTGTTCTAAAGAGCAAGGACTGTCCCAAGGGTACCTAGCGCGATTCACTTTTTTGAAAAGGCACCCAAACCACACCTCAAGATTCCATGCAATTTTCTCAGCAATGGGCGAATTGTTTAATCCTGAACGCGATGTTAGTATTTAAAAAGAGATGGGAAATGCTAAAAAAGCGCCGGAGGCAAAAAAATTAAAAAAAAATCGCGCGATTTTTTTTTAATTTTTTTGCCTCCGGCGCTTTTTTAGCATTTCCCATCTCTTTTTAAATACTAACAATTAACTATCTTAAATTTCAGGAATCCACCGATACGGACAATGAAAAAGAATAGGCTTAATCTGTACCACTAACCAGCATTTTTTATAAATAAATATTTACTGTCCAATCATTAACCATAGTTTTATATAGCATTTTATTTACTATTACAAATAAGTTACAAGTATAAGGAGGTACTGATAAAGACTAAGGTTGATCCTCCTCGGATTGCGATTTCTTAAGACACATCTTAAAAATGTATATGTTGGTCATCCATGGTCGCCCAAGCTCTTAAGGAATCACGGTCCATCGAGGATATTAATTCGCGGTTGTGGGGTCTGGCCTGCTATAAAAACAATTTCACATTTTTGTCGAATTTTTTCGAACGCTTATTATTTTGACAACAAACGGAAAGCCCATATGTTTTTTATAGCAAAATGACACAAAACACCTCAAAATCCTAGAAAATCCTACTTTGTTTTTATAGCAAAACACGCAACTTTGAAATGCAATTACAAGAGAACAATGCATTTCCGCAAATAATCTTCTGCACGTAAATTCCTAAGAAATCGCGGTCCATCGAGGGTAATTTTTTCGCGGTTTTTGGTGCTCAGGCCGCTCTTCTAGACTATTACCTATAGTTTTAAATAGTGAAAGCAAACTGATCGTATTGTTATAGGTTTACAAGCTAAAATAAAGCAACAAGCTTGTTACACTTATTTTAAGTGGAAACGGAAGTCATTTGCGAATATCATAGATCATAATAAAGTTAGTTTAGCCCGGCGTAAACCGGTTATCAGCAATCACGCGAAATTCTACACACAAATTAAACATGGCTATATAGTAGGTTTATTTATTTGGGTGTAGTTTCGAGCTATAACCTGCAATTGTTGTAAATGCACTTGCAATAGAATAGCCACGCTTATTCATTCAATTTGCTGGCACGTTTTGCATTACACACGACAACCCTGACCTACAAAGTGGCAAATAATAAAAAACTCAAGCGCCTGTTTTTGTTGCTTTGCATCGAAAATTGTTTGTGCTGTTTGTCTGGCGCTTGAGCAGAGTTTACATTGAATGTTATAAATAAATTAAAGGAACACCGCGTGGGAGTGTGTGTGGTGTGTGTTTTTGTACGAGGGGCCGGCCAGTCTGAGTTTTCAAGCAATGCACGACTAGCATTCAGCATTCAACGCTAATTGCAGTTGATAAATGGACAGCATTCCTCATCGCTAGGCAACAAAACCTAAGTCCATTATTATTTGCTACTAGCACAATGGTGAAAATTGTATGTTAAGGGTTGGCAAAACAGAAAATCTTTCCCTTCTGACACTTAAAATATTGTATTTTACTATGCACAAGTATGCTAATAACTTTTATACAACGGAACTAAGCATTTCTATAAGTGCTTTAAAATTTAAGCATCTTTTGGAGATAGATCTAGTTAAGATCATCCAGTTCTGGTAAGTTCTATAAAGTTCTATAAACAACCTGATATTCAAGCGTCTGGCTTTTACTATCTAATTATTCGGCCATAATATTTATTGCCCTGGCGAAAACAAAACACAAACAAACCGAAGTTGGTGAATTTTTGGTTTTTATGGTTTTTGGCTGCTTTCTTCCCAGACCAAGGCACACACTCACACAAGAAATCAGGAGGGTTATACGAGCCACATTTACATCTGCTGAAGACAGTGACAGATACTTTCTCTTTTCCCCGCTCGAGTGATGAAACTCGCGTTAAAAATAGAATGGCGAGCGAGTGAAGAGCGAGCGAAGAAAATAGCGCCTCTTCCATTCATATTTTTGTGATTTAATTTTTTCTTCTTCTTTCGTGTTGAAAACTATTAATTATGCTAGTTTTTGTCACTGTACAATGGCCGAATTGTTGGAGATGTTTACAAAGTTCAAGTGTTTGGGAGCAGCTGCGCAGCCAGCGTTTCGAGAGAGCGCGTTTATTTTTAGCCCGAGAAGAAGAAAAAAATCGACAGCCGAAAGAGCAGCGAGAGCCAAACAGCGAGAAGAGAACATGCGCAAAGTGCATTTTGAAAATCAAAGTCGGATGCTGCACGCTCTCGCTCTCAGCGTGATTACGAGTGTCGCTTTTTTTCTTTTCGTAATTTTTTCCTTTGGTATTTTCTCACCTGGTCGATCCAATGACTGTCTGCGACTCATTGGCAAAAGATTTGTGCTGCTGTTGTTGTGTGGTGTTTTTTGGGGGTTTCAGAGACAAAAACGTCGGCCGATGCAAATTATGCCAATTTTGATTGCTTCATTGGTAATTTGTTGTTGTAGATGGTTCCTTTTTGCTATTGCTTTAGCTTATTTCCTTTTGCCGCGCTGCTTCTTACTCAATTCTATACACTCAACACACACACACGCGGACATTTTTCGAATTTCATTTCACACGCGACTGTTGACTTTCTTTTTGCCCCCTCTTTCTCTCTCTCACGCTATTTCTTCTCCCACTCTCTGAGAACACGACAGATGATGTTGTTGTTGTTGCTGGGGGGCTTTTTGATTTGAGGTGTTGCTGCTCGAGCTTCTATTGCAATTTGTGACGTGTTGTGCTGATTTGTTTGTTGCTGGCCCGTTGTTTTAAAAACGCTTTTTGACACACACCTCTCACACTCACGGAAGCAGCCAGCACAGACACACAAACACACACGCACGCACACACACTCACACTCGCGCGTCACGTCAATGAACGCAGCAGCACGTAGTTGTTGTTTTCTTCACTGATCCTCGCTTTTTACGCACATTTTGCTGGCTAGTCGAAGCACTGCTCACCCGAGCCTTGTTTATTTACATTGCCGCCCGTGGCTGCTGCACTTTGCGTTATTTTTCCTATTTTTGCCGATTTTATTCGATTCGCACGGCCGTACAACGAGCGCCGCCGCCGCAAACAAAGGGAAAAACGAAGACGGGAGAAAATGGTGAATGCGAATGCTGGGGCTGGAAAAAACGATAGTATCGATACTATTTATCTGAGGTGAGCGTGGTCACACTGCAGTGTCGTGGTAATAACAGCAATGTTAAGATAACATTAGCGAGTGCAACCTCCTCAACCAGAGGTGCAACAAGAATATGTGCTATCGATGCGTTTGTTTTGCTGCATTTACGACTTGCACAAGAAATTGAGGCTATTTAATATGCTCTCTAAATTATTTTGAAAAATAGGTAATCACTAGGGCAGCCACCTGTCTGCTCAGACATTGTATATAAAGATTTGCAGGGCATAGAAAAGGGAGATATATAAGCTCAGAAGTTTCACCTTCATTTATTTACACTACTTTATGAAATATTAGGCGATATTTGGAAATACTGATTATATCGGAGAAACAAAACATTGCTGTCGCAGACATTGGGTCGGGGCCATGTGCTAGAGCGAGATGGCCGTCGGCGGTGGGGCGCTTACACTGCTTCCGTCTCCCTCCCGCACGAAGAGGTAGAGAAGAAAAAAACGAAAAGCAAACTGGCGGATTTCACGCAACAATTGACAATAACATTTGGCAACTGCACTTTGAACGGATTGGCCTGCTGTCAGCGCTCGCGGAGCAATTGTTCGTTAATTAAAGCATTTCCGCAGATTTCCCGCACTTTTGCTGCACTCCGAGTTCTGTTAATCGACTGCCCGATATGTCGATAGATCGATAGGCGGCTGAGCAGTTTCCAACCCTGGTCGGCCGATAGTAACTATCGTATGCTTAATTACAAAAAACACAAATAAATGAAGTGAAGCGGACGCAATCTGCAACAAAGAGATTGCGATCAAAATGCTACGGGTAAGTGACCTGATCGGGGAGTAGGGCTATATACGATTCTATATGCTCGCATATCTCACCGCGCGCAGGCAATCGGGAAACGGGACAGGGACATCTTCGAGGAGGTTTGGCCGGACAAGAGGCGGATTGTGCTGAAGCTGCTGCGCCAGGACACCGTTTCGCAGCGCGAGTGGCAGGACCTGTTCTTCGGCGTCCACTTCGTGTGCCTGTGGGACGAGAAGGGCGCCTCGAAGATCTACGACTGCCTGCAGCAGGACATCGTCGAGTTCATCGTCCAGGCCCAAAGCCAGGTGCAGGCCCAGCGCGGCGAGCAGGCGCTCCTGGCCACCTACATCGTCGAGTGGCGCAAGTTCTTCACACAGTCCAACTACCTGCCGCTGCCCTTCCGCCAGCTGGAGCAGTCGCCCCAGGTGAAGCCCTCCTCCGCGTCCGCCTCCGCCGTTTCCGCCTCGGGAGCGAGTACGAGTGCCGCGGCGGCGGCGGCAGCAGCGGGCTCCTCCTCCTCCGCCGCTGGGAAGTCTGGCGCCTCCACCTCATCCGCCGCTGGAGCCTCCACCTCCGCCGCCGCAGCCGCCGCCGCTGCCGCCGCCTCCTCCACATCCGCATCCGCCTCGACAAGCTCAGCAGCGGCCGCTGGGAGCAGCAGTAGCTCCAAGAAGAACCCCACGGAGGACAGCCCTGTGCGGAAGCTCATGCTGGACTCGTGGAACAAGCACATCTTCCACGACATCAAGCACCGCCTGCAGGAGTCGGCCATGAAGATTGTGCACGCCGAGCGAAACGGCGACGCCTACGACGCCCAGCTGGTGGTGGGCGTGCGCGAGAGCTATGTGAATCTCTCCTCGAATGTCGAGGACAAGCTGGAGATCTACAGGGAGAACTTCGAGATGGCCTATCTCAAGGCCACCGCCGAGTTCTATCGCTTGAAATCCGCCGAGCAGCAGCAGGAGAACGGAGTGCTGGCCTACATGAAGTACGCCGACTCCAAGCTGCGCGAGGAGGAGGTGCGGGCCAAGCGGTATCTGGAGCCCAGCAGCTTCAGCATACTCACCTACACGCTGGTCAAGGTGCTCATTGTGGATCACCTGAACTCCATCATTGCCGAGTGCCCGGCGCTGATTAGGGACTATGAAACGGAGCGATTGAATCTCATGTTCCGCCTGATGGATCGCGTGCTGCAGGGCGTGGGTGTGGAGGCCATGATGGGCGACCTGCAGCGGCACATCATGTCCGCCGGTCTGGCCGACATGCTCTCCGCCTCGGAGGTGATTACCCAGGACTCGGAAAAGTACGTGGAGCGGCTGCTCGAGCTGTTCAACAAGTTCAGCGACCTGGTGCGCAACGCCTTCAACGACGATCCCCGCTTCCTCACTGCCCGCGACATCGCCTTCAAGACGGTGGTCAACGACACCAGCGTGTTCAAGATGGAGCTGCCCACGAGCATCGCCAATCGAGGCGTGAAGTACACGGCGCCGGAGAGCAAGTGCCCGGAACTGCTGGCCAACTACTGCGACATGCTGCTGCGCCGAACGCCGCTGAGCAAGCGGCTCACCAGCGAGCAGATAGACGCTCGCCTGCGCGACGTTCTGTTGGTCCTTAAGTACGTCAACAACAAGGACGTCTTTATGCGGTACCACAAGGTTCATTTGACGAGGCGGTAAGTTGATTTATGTAGTCTAAAAGATTTATTTTATTTACACAAATTAAATGGGGACTTAACCTGAAAGGTTACGCCAGTTTATATGAACATTTTCTAAATTACAAGTTAGAGCCCTGCCTGAATCATTCAATTTTTGTTTTATCATAATATGGCATGAAATTTCTGATTTGTTTAATTCAATTCTATGTGAAGTAAATTGAATCTTTTTCTAATTCATTTCGAATTGAATGAATGAATGAATAATTTTTATAAATTTTTTTGAATTTGCCAGATTATTTTTGTGCTTTCTTTTGATATCAAAAAGTGGAAAATGTTTAACAAATCAATGTTAACTTCTTAGAAAATAACAATCATGCAGATTGAATCACAAAATGATGGCCCTTTCTTCTTCAAAAGAAATTGTCGTTTGAATTACTTCTATTAAACTCAAAATTCAAGTTCATTTAATTCTGTTAAACTCAAAATTCTAATTAATTCGTTCATATAAAAAAAAAAATAATTCATTGAATCCATTTATGCAGAGCTCTTTTACACAAATCAAATGGGGATTTAAACCTGAAAGGTTACTCCAGTTTATATGAATATTTCGTATACTAAAAATACTTTATCGGGTACTCTAATATTATTTATGACGCGATGAGTCAATAAACTCAATCTCTTATATGCTCTTTTATTAAACGTTTCTTATTTTATTTTAGCTTGATTCTGGGAACCAGTGCGGACAGCGAAAAGGAGGAGGACATTGTCGAGTGGCTGCGCGAGGTCGGCATGCCGGCGGACTACGTGAATCGGCTGGCGCGCATGTTCCAGGACATAAAGGTGGGTTCTAGCAGGCGACTCTGTTGCTAAATTTCTTTACTGATAACCCTCTTTAATCTGCAGGTCAGCGAAGATCTGAATACTCAATTCCGCACTTCGATAAGAAGGCACGATGCGATCAACATTAAAATACTCAACGCGGGCGCCTGGGCGCGCTGCTCGGAGCGTGTGTCCGTCTCACTGCCCATCGAGCTGGAGGATTACATACCTGATGTGGAGGAGTTCTACAAGAAGAAGCATTCCGGCCGCAAGCTGCAGTGGTATCATCACATGAGCAACGGCACCATCACCTTCGTGAATAACTTTGGGCGCTACGATCTGGATGTGACCACCTTCCAGATGGCCGTCCTTTTTGCCTGGAATCAGCGTCAGCACGACAAGATCTCGTATGAGAATCTCAGATTGGCCACAGAACTGCCAGGTTAGCGTTAATTATATAATATTTTTAAGCTTATATATTAATATGTTTTAACCCATTTAAAGATCCCGAACTGAGACGAACTCTGTGGTCGCTGGTGGCGTTCCCCAAGATCAAGAAACAGATCCTGCTCATGGAACCGACGGCCATCAGTTCGCCCAAGGATTTTGCCGAGAACACAGTGTTCTATATCAATCAAGAGTTCGCCATTGTCAAGAATGGCAAGTCCCAGCGACGCGGAAAGGTGAGTGCAGATTATCCTAGGTCTATAAACAATCTGCAACCTGATTTTTCTTCTCCCAGCTCAATCTCATTGGGCGCCTGCAGCTAAGCACGGAACGCTCGCAACAGGAGGACAATCAGTCCATTGTGCAGCTGCGCATCCTGCGCACCCAAGAAGCCATCATCAAGATAATGAAGGTGCGCAAGCGGATGAACAACGCAGCGCTGCAGGTGAGTAAATGAATTGCCAGTAAAGACAGTCCAGAAGATCTAAGAAAACTTCCTTCCACAGGGCGAACTAATCGACATACTGAAGAACATGTTCCTGCCGTCCAAGAAGATGATCAAGGAGCAGCTGGAGTGGCTCATCGAGAACAAGTACATGAGGCGGGACGACGATGACATCAACATGTTCATCTACGTGGCCTAAGCAGCTGCAGCTCCTGATCCCGGCTCTAGTCTCAGTCTCAGTCTCCCGTCTATGCAATCATTCCCATTTCCATTCCTTCCCTCTCACCACACACACGCTATTTTAATCTCAACGCCGACGTGCTCAAAGCACGCGCCCTTTTTCTGTCTACGGAATTGGATAATTGTATTATATGGAAACGTGATTCGCTACTGACATTGCGTCCTCAGAGCATTTAAAAGACCCACATTTCAATCGAAAGCCGCTTCTCGTCTCCACGTCCTGTATTCATATTTGTATTCGTATTTGTATTTGTGAAACTTTGTATTTTTATATTGGCCCCCACTGGCTGCTCCGGCGTAGCTCTAGGTATTATGTTTTGTGCGGTATTTGCACCCTGGAAATTCCACGCCCCCGAGTAATATCGATCGATAGCGTTAATCTAATCAACCTGCTGTTTTCTATGTGTGTAGTTCTCCCCTGTTTGTTTCCGTTGCCTGGTCTTCTGTTGATTCTTGGGTATTTTGCAATGTTCCACGCGAGACTCACACACCTCCAACCTCCTGAAGGTTGAGCGGAAGCCAATTCTTCGCCTCCAGTCACTCCCAGCATGGAATGCCTAATCACACACAAACACTCACACACACGCGATCGCAAAACTACAACTAAAATAGCAATACTTTAAGTTTAAGTTAATGAATAAACTTGGTTCTACGCATAATGAAAGCGAAATGAATGCAGTTTGGATTTTTATCGAGGGGTGCGTAAAAAGGGATTTTAATAAAACTAGGATTTTCTTCATTATACCATTATGTTTTTTCTTTATTCAACTTAGATTTGTAAGGGCGGAAGTTAGGTTTCAAGCGTGCTTAAGTAAGCCCTAAAAAGTTTGACTTAAATTAGAGACAATTATTGAAAAAATTAAACTGTTTTTAAAAAAGTAAGAACATAATAAAAACCAGGACAAGTGTTTCACAATTTTGACAGAGATGTACATAGGTAACACAATAAAATTTCATTAAATTACTTAAATGGACAAAAACTGAGGGACATTACATTACATTAAAAATATCAACTAAAAGGACAAGGAAACGGACATGTTAAAAAAACGCATAAATAAAAAGAACCCTATGCTACCATCTATGCTATGACTTATGATCCTATAGCTAAAATACTATTGAAGCGAGCATGTGTCTCGTAAGGGACAGGTCGATATCTGCAAATCGACTTGTCCTTGTTTCTGGGGGAAGGATCACGGCCATAGAATCCATATCCGGCCCTCTATCTTCGCTTCCGTCCCTTCTTGTAGCCCTTGCCATACCATCCCGCCTGGGTGCGCGCCAGTTTGCGGGGGAAACTCGTGCTCAGCTGCTGCCTTCGCTTGGCCGTCTCCGCCGCCGCAATGTGGGCCAAGGATATATTCTCATCGTAATCATCGTCGTCGTCGGACGTGGGACAGCACTCGCAGACCACGAACCGACCGCTCCTGGCTCGTTTCTTGTGCTTGCGCTGACTGAGGTTCCAACGGCGATAGAACTGACACTCCAGTTCGGCGTACCGATCGAAACAGAAGTCGCAACTGGCGGCGGATCGGTTCATCGCAAAGTTCGGCACCACCTGGGAGTTCCAGATATTGAGATCCGCCGGCGGCGGTATTAGAATGCTGTGCAGACCCGAGTAAGCGTACTTGGCATCGTACCACGAGGGCAGTTGGCGCAGCAACTCCTCGTCGTTGTTCTGCCTCAGCAAATCCACCTGGGCCAGCTCGCTTTCCTCCTCCTCCTCCTCTTCGTTCTCGTTCTCTGTAGAGGAGTCACCGTCGTTTTCGCTCTTAATCTGAACGTTGAGCGACTGAAAGGCAGGTGGCAGAACCATTTTGGGTTCTACGAAGGGAGTGGACAATGGTGCTCCTATGGGCACCAGCGGTGGCAGTTGAAGTGGCTCTAATCTCAGCTCAATTGGTTGCGCGCTCACGTTTTCCACATGAGTTTTTTGTATGGCGACTAGTTTGGGCAGCTCCAGGAAACCATTGTTCGCTGCTTCCTCCGTCTCTTCCTTGAGGGAAAGGGGCTCCAGCTTGGGCAGCAGCTCCAGAAGATGCAGCTCCTGCTGGCTCTCGGTTTCCTCCAGTTTCACTTCAGTCTCTATTTTAATGAACGACTCCTGCTTCTGCGAAGGGATGGCGTCAATCTCCGTTTTAACCTCTCCATTTGTGTCCACCGTCTCCACCTTAATCTCCTCGTCCTGGCCATTGATGAGCTTAAATTTCTGGCGCAGCTCCAGGTTGGTCTTAACCCTTCGTCCGTTTTTTATGGGCGTGCGGATGCGGGGACCCTTTCCGATTGGCAGATCGCTGTAGTTGTAGCTACAGCTCTCACTGGAGATGGTCGAGTCCTGCGTTTCCTCGGTTGTGGTGGTGAAGGCCTCCTCCTCGTCGGCATTTTTCAGCAGCGGCTGCGTCAGCGTGTGCAGTTCCTCGGGCATCAGCAGCGTAGCATGTGCAAATATTGGATCCTTTTCCTTCGTGTAGACGGGCACTGAAATGTGAAGTAGGTGCATTAGTTGGGCCATCACCCGATCGCATTTCCCATTGATCTTAATGCTGGCAATGCCATCCTTGGGCGTCCACTGCAGGTTGACCACACAGATCTTGGCCCGCTGGCGCGCAGGTCGATCCATCTGCCACAGCCACGTGTATTTCTTGAGCACCTTGAGACTGGAACCGAGGCACAGGATCACATCGGCTCGCTCTGAATGCGCCGTGGCTCCCGCCCAATTCAGTGGCCACTTGATGTTCCCTCGCTCCCCGAAATGCACAATAGTGTCGTACAGAGGCTCCGAGCAGCGATGGCACAGGCGGTGGGTTTTGTGGCAGTAGCGGGCGGTCATTTCCGTGGTATCAAATTGACGCCAATAAACGCTGTTCGGCCGACAGTTCTTGCACACCTCCACATACATGTTCCCGTGGATCTCGGACAAGGAATGCCTGGGCAAACCGGATCGCAGGTGCAGGCCATCGCAGTTCTGGGACACCACATGATGCAGCAGTCGCCGGCGATGCATTTCGTACAGGGCCATGTGCGTGTAGGTTGGATTCGCGCTGGACAGATCATGGTCGCCGATCTCCTGGCCCTTCTGCAGCAACGTCCAGATGCCCTGGCTGCCGCGATAGTCGGGAATCAGGGCGGCCGTGCTTATCCCGGCTCCCGTGTAGCAAACCAGGTGCTTGGCCTGCGAAATGATGTTGGCCAGCTGCTCCACCTTCGCCTCGATCACGTGCGGCGCATCCTCGCGCTCCACCACCCGCTCCTTGTAGATCTCCACGCGCTCCTTGCGCTTCTTGGTGGCCTTCACCATTTCGGGGTGCTTGTCCAGGAACTGCCTGTCCTCCGTGGAGCGCAGCGAGTCGCATTTCCGCAATATCATCGAGACCTGGAAAGTTATTTTGAGTGATTAGTATAGGTAGAAAAAGGGGAAATGGCTTGAAATGCCCTTGCAATAAAGATTTCATACTTATTTTACATTTAATTTGGTATAATATATATTTTAAATTTAATTATATTTAAATTAATTAAATTTATATTGTAGTGAACTTCTAGACTCTAAATATACTTTAAATCAATTTAAATTTTAAAGCAAGGGTATAAACACGCACGCACACACACACAGGCGCACTAATTACCCTTCTCATTGCATCCTTGCGTCGCCGCTTCTCGTTATCCTTCTTGGCAGGATTCATCTTGGCCCGCGTTATATAAGACTGCGCCACGTCCACCACCTCCTGCTTCGGCTCCATCTCCATGAGCTGCTCCTCCTGCTCCTTTTCCCTGTCCTGATCCATGAGTGATCCGGCACAATTGGCTAATTAAAGTGCGCCGCCAGGAACTGGGGCAAGTGCGATGTGGAATCCTGCGCAGGATGTACGCTTACATTTTAGTTGCCCTTAAGTTGCGGACCTCTAGCCATTGGTAATGGACCATTTGGTAATTAATTTAAACTAAAAAGTTGCTAAAATTGTAAATGTTTCTTTTTTTGGGGAAAAAAGGTAAACAACTATCGATGACGGCACCGATAGCTTTGTGCTATCGATGTCCCAGGGATGCAGTACTTATTCTCATCCGATAGTTATCGCAGAGTACTGTTAAAACTGGTTTAAAAATAATGTTAACTAATCATTTATTAATTCGTTCTTAAAGTATTGCCATAGTTCGGGTTATCCAGCTTAAATAAGGATACACGCGGGTGTATATTCCTGGAACCCCCGGGGATCCACAGGAAAGACCAGCCGAAGTAATTCCCACAACGTGATACATGCAGGGGAAATCCTTGTGACGGATAAGTAACGGTCCACCGGAGTCGCCGTTGCAGGTGTCCTTGGCCATTTCCGAGCCCACACAGAGTTGGTTGTTTGCATCGAAACCCCGAGGAAATTCCTCCAGTTGCCGGGTTACCAGTTTCTGGCAGACCTACGTGAAAATAAAAATTATAATAATTTTATTATAATGACACCTTTTCAATCGCACACCTGATCTCCGTAGCGGTCCAACTTCACTTTTTGCAGCATGGCCGAGGGCTTTCCAGCCACGGCTGTGCTTCCCCAGCCAACGGCTATAAAGGAGTTGGAAAAACGTTCATCCTGAAACGGCAGACAGGCAGGATGTTTATACAAATCAAAGACTACATCCTCCATTAGTTTTATTATTCCAATATCATGGTAAAACTCTTCGTAGCCCGGATGTGTTACATAATTGGATACACCATAATCTCTGGGCGCCGCATCCTCCTCGTTCGTATCGAAATCTAGTTCACCCAACCGTACAATATTTACTTCTCCACTGGAAAGAAGAAATTCGATTATATTTTAGTTATTGTAAAACAGATAATTGCACAAGGTGTTCTAAGAAATGAAGCTACCAATTTCCCAATTGTTATATCCTTTTCCCGACAGAAGATTTACTTTGTTCAAGATACTCGTCGTGCAATAAATCATACAAAATCAATGGGAAATTTTGAATTTACCTTTAGGTAAATCCCCTCACTTACTTTTCCGAATCCAAACAGTGGGCTGCGGTTAGGACAAGCCGCTCGCTGATCAGAGCTCCCCCACAAAACCAGTCAGTACGACTACCCTGATCTTGACGACGTCCCAAACGAGCCATGTGCGGAAATTCCCGGGGCTGGGCTGGATGACCGCCCACAATTAAGGGGGTGTAACTCCGGCAATTATCGAAGACCTCGCTTTCGATCGCAGCCCCTGGAAGCAGGTATCCGAAGTAGATTCTCTCTTCAAAAACACTCTTCTTGTATCTCGTGCAAGCTTAAGGGTTGATATTAAAAAAAGGCGTATATTAAATAATCTTCACATTTTGGCTAACGAAATCCACTTACTCCTGACTATATCTATATCCGGATTCTGGCCAAAAACACATGACAGCGGAATAATCAGTAGGAAGAACTGCACAAGCGGCGACCACATCTTCATCTTCAGGTGACGATCGGTAATCGACTGTGCGATCCGAACGGGTTTAGCTCCCAATTAGACACTGAATCGATCAGCTGTGGACCCCCCATTTGGAGGCGAGGTTCAAGCGGGTAAAAGCTGATAGAAATCCCCGCTCTTCAAACGATTATCCAATATAAAACGGTTTTTTTACATGGACTTTTAAGTGAATTATGCTAATGAAAGTCAATTGTACATTTTGCTTGCGTATTTTAATGCGTAATAATTATATTTAGAATAATTTCGGATATGTATAAATTCTGATCAGTAATACATAAATGCAGATCATTATATAAAATCACTTTATAATGTTTAGAAGCGAATGAAAATTTAAATATTTCCTAATTTTCCTAATTTAAAATTGAACCGATATTAACCATAGTTGTAGAGTTTTACCTTCTGCAACTTTTCTTATAAATAAATCAGTATTTTCTGGGACTTAAACCTTCTTGGCTTGATAATGTTCAAGTAAATATTGATATTAAAAAGTTTATAAATGTGAAGTTGGCTGTCAGGTCAGAAAAACAAATTCGAGCTTTATTTTCAGTTCAGTATTTAACAATGGTCATCGAAATACAAGTAATGCAAGTCAATAAATTTTCTTAATTTATTGGTTTGATTAATGATTTGCTAATTCTTGGCCAACTGCTGTTTGATCCAGTCTAAGTAAAACTGGACCCTTGTGTACATGGCAGGCAGATCGGGAGTATCGCAGGCTACTCCAACGGATGTAATTCCCATCACGTGATACATGCATGGGAAGTCTTTGTGGTAGATGAGTACCGGTCCTCCGGAGTCGCCGTTGCAGGTGTCCTTGTGTTCGTTGGATCCGATGCAAAGCTGTGTGGTGGCATTATATCCATAGGGAAGCTGTTCATTCTCATCCGCGGTGATGGTGCAACGCGTGTTGTAGTTGTAGAGCTTCACCTTCTGCAGCTTTTTGTTTTCGGTCCTTGGAACGATCTCCAACTGACCCCAACCGATGGCTATGAAGGCAGACACCGATCGGCCGTCGGCGAAGGGGAGGCACGCAGGATGTTTGTACTCGTTGAAGGTCACAGGCCTACTCAACCGCACCACAGCTATGTCGTTATAAATCACCGGGTAACTATATCCGGGGTGCAGTGTAAAGTCCTTCACGGTAAAGTCCTCCGGATCGGCGTCGTCATTGCTTGTGTCGAATTCCAGATCCCCAAGGCGAACGATATTCACTGAGCCTCTGAAAGGGGTTCCAGATTATTTTAATTAATATGCAAATCGAATAATATTTTGTTAATGATTTTCAATTTAAACCTTCAAAGATTTCCGAGAAGTATAAATGCAATTTTGTTGTGTATATTTATACCTAACGAAATGTAAAAAAATTTTCAAATCGATCTATTCATTAAAAAGTTATGCGCAATCAAAATTGTATATTTTACATATATATCCATATCCTTCGCTCTCCCTTTAGCTGAGTGACGGGTATTAGATAGTCGGGACACCGACTATAGCGTTCTCTCTTTTTTTAAATTATTTTTAAAATCTTTTTGTTATATTAATAAGAACATTGCCATTTTGTTCAGTGATTTGAGGAATACGTACTGCGACGAAAAGAAGCAATGGGCTGCCGTTAGCACATGCCTATTGCTGATAAGTGTTCCTCCACAGAACCACTCAACTTCGCCATTATCATCATCTCGATGTCCCAGGCGGGCTGCGTGCGGGAACTCCTTGGGCAGGGCGGGAGCTCCTCCGATTATGAGGGGTGCATAGCTCGTGCATTTGTCCAGGGTCTTGTAGATAATCGGCGCATTCTCAATCAGGAAGCTGAACTCTGACGTCTCTTCCCAAACGCTTCTCTTGTAGGAGGTGCAGGCTACATATGTAGATTACAAAACTTGAATACAGATCTCTTGATAAAGAAGATGCACCCACTTTTTACTATATCCGGATCTTGGGACGTCACAAAGACGACTGATTGAAGCAGCAAAGCTGCTCCCAGCTGGACAATCTCGACAGAGAACGCACTTTTCATCGTGCTGTTGCCTCAACGGTAAGCGAGTAACTAAGATCATTATTAATAACCACACAGCTTCTCTCAGGTAATCGCCGACATCTCCTCAGGAGAGCCAATAAATAGCGGGAAAAGCCTCGTTTTTATTGATAAGAATTTATATACTAATATTTGCTCACGTCTTACGCAAATAGAAATTCAATACACACCAAAGCCAGTTTGTCGGAGAATAAAAATAAATCATTAGGCTTGGGGGTTAAGAAAATATTAAATCAAAAGAACTGTAATCAATTTTAATCATAATTTTAATTTAAGATTTTCAACTGTCACGACTTTAAAGCAAGTGAAAATTTCAGTGGAAATGAAAACCTGAAAAACTCATTTAAATTTTAATTCCCAACCGGTTCGCTGAACGTACCACAAAGCAAGCAAATGTTTATAGCCTGGTGGATTTACATTTTTAAGTAATATCTTGAATGTTTGTGGATTTCTGAGAACCCATTCAAGAATTTTAATTATAAGTCACTTTATGTCTGATTGGCCAGTTCGTTCTTAATCCAGTTGAGGTAGTAGTGCACCCTGGTGTAGGGACTTGGAATATCGGGCGTGGAACACGCAATGCTGAACGAGGTGATGCCCATAACGTGGTACATGCAGGGAAGTGTCTTGTGGTAGGCCAGCACTGGACCCCCGGAGTCGCCGTTGCAGGTGTCCTTGTTGTCCGGCGATCCAATGCACAGCTGGGTCCTAGCCTCGTAGCCATGGGGCAGTTCATCATTCGGATCGATACTAGTCGAACACTGATTTCCATAGCCCTGGAGCTGAACCTTCAGCAGCTTCTTGGACTCCGCCTCGGCAAACTTCTGCTGGCCCCAGCCGATGGCGATGAAATTTTCGTGCTGCTCACCGTCGTCGAATGGCAAGCAGGCAGGATGTTTGTATCCGTTGAACTTGACCTCTCGATCCAGTTTAATTATGGCTATATCATTGTAGAATTCGCTGTGTTTATATTCCGGATGTGGCTTGAGAGCTAGCACGCCGAAGTCCTCCGGCTCTGCATCATCCTTGTCGGTATCAAAGACCAGCTCCCCCAAACGCACAACATTGACCGCTCCGCTGGGAAAATATAGAAATCTGTTAGCTAGCATTACAACTATCTAAATAAACTATTAAGATTTGGTGATAAATAAATAACAAATTAAATGTTAATGAAGAAAATTTGGTTTGCCCCCTTTTATGGAAAGATTTGAATTTATAAAACCAATTCAAAACCATGCCTTGTTTACTGAAGAAACCATAATACGGAATTCAAAGGCTATCTAAATCTGGTAACCAGAATTAAATACGTACTGTTCGGAAAAAAGGCAGTGAGCCGCAGTAAGTACCAGACGATTGCTTATCAAGGTTCCGCCACAGAACCATCTTGTTTCGTTGTTGGCTTTACGATGCCCCAGGCGAGCTGCATGGGCAAATTCTTTGGGTTCCGCCGGAGTACCATCCACAATTAGGGGTCTTGAGCCGTGACAACTGTCAACGGTTGAATAGGTAATCGGAGCATCCTCGATAAAGAAGCCGATGGCCACGCGCTTCTCAAAAACCACCTGTTTAAATTTGTCGCAAGCTAAAAAGAATACAAAATTTAATGGAGTAATTTCAATGATTTGGTTTTTACTAATTGCTCTTACCAAGCTGTACAGCTGGATCCGGGTTTTGGCCACAAACAAGGCAGCTGCTCAGGAAAAACATCAGCAACGAAATCATTCCCAGAGATTTCATGGCCATCCTATTGATTCGTTCTCGAACTGCAGTGGAAAACGACCGGCAGACGACTGATTAAATATAAGTTAATCAGCTAGTTTTCAATTGCGCACTTTAGAGAATCGGCTCTCTGAAATTAAGCACAAATCAGCTGGTTCTTTTCTATATACAGTAGGCAGCAGTGTAAATAATTTCCTGACTTTGTTTAAAAAAATAACATTTTAAAATGTCATGACGATCAAATACATTTTGGAAGACGGATTCGATGGATCAATTGGATGCTCACAAAAATTAAAAGAATTGAACTTTTTGATTGAAATTATTAACTGATATTTACTGTACTAGCTTAAAACCAGTTTGGCTGAAAACAAACTGACTGAGAGTCAACCAGACTTTGTGGGTCTAACATTTATATTAATGTTGGTAGAATTGTACAAAGTTTAACGAACTAAAGTATATATGCAACTAATTAAAGTGGATGCCGGCTGAATTGAAAGCCAGCAGGAGCTTCATGAAGTCGTCTATGTCCATGCTTCTCGCACGCTTGCTGGCCATATCCTGTTCCTCCAAGATGCCAATGACCTTCTCCTGCATGTTGAAGTTCTCTTCGACGGGCTGTGGGAATTGAGATTGTTATATTTCTATTCTCTCCTCTGTATTCCTTGACTCACCTCGTTCCTAAGCGAGCGATACAACTTGTAGTTCTTCTCGAGCATCTCCATCACAGAGGTTACCTTAAAGGTGGCCGCCAGCGTTTTGTTCTTGCGCAGGAAGGCGATTCTCGTTAGGCCATCCCATTCGGTGAAGTTGACCGGTGGCGGTGGGTTCTTCGGCTCCAGCCGCACCACACTGCTCTCCACCTTTGGTGGCGGCTTGAAGTTGTTCTTGCCCACCTTCATGAGCATGTCCACGCGGGCCAGGAGCTGGGTATTGATGCTCAGGCGGCAGTAGAGCTTGTCGCCCGGCTTGGCCACCAATCGCTGGGCGAACTCGCGCTGGAACATGAGCACGGCGCACCGGAAGAGTGGTCGGTGCAGGAGCAACTTAAAGATGAGGGGCGAACTGATCTGGTACGGCACGTTGGCGATGCACAGATCGAAGAAGGGCAGCTCCGCCTTCAGGAAGTCCCCGATGAGCACCTGCAGCTTGGGCTGCAGCGGAGTGGCCTGGACACGCTTCTGCAGCTCGGCAGCCAAGCGGGTGTCGATCTCGCAGGCAATCACCTTCTTCGCGCGCTCCAGCATCCGAACGGTCATGTTTCCCGTGCCGGGACCGATTTCCAGCACCACATCGGTGGCCCGAAGAGCGGCCTTCTCCAACATGGTGGTTATCACCAGGGGATTCTTCAGAATGTGCTGGCCAAAGTCCTTGTTGAAGACGATTCCTAGAGATTTTTAGATTTTAGTAGCAATTACAAGGGACCCTCTTTTATTGCCAAATTGCTACATTTGTGGTGTCTTAACTTACCCTGCTTCTGCACCTCGGTGTGAATGCGGCTCTTCTTTTCCGTTTTGACCTTTGGCATCTTGGCTAGCACTTGTTTTTCGCCTTTAAATTAATTAATTTAAATAAATAGTTATTTGTTTTGGGTGTGCTTCTTCTTCTTCAGATGTCAACATGTGCGCTGTTGGTTAGCAGCCGATAACTCAGCGATAACTCATAGGTAACAGAACTGTTAACCGCTAACGGCCGCCCAGCTGTTAATTCAAATTTACAAGGATCAATTAACTTAACTTGTATAAAAATAAAAAACGTTTAAGAATCTTGATAAATAATATAAGAGTAAGCTATGATTATAGTGAATATAGCTAAAAACATAGCAAGAAGCCGTTTTTAAAGCTAATAACATGTTACCCTCTGAACCGCTCGAACTAACATTCCCGTTTCGCAACAATGTCAAATTTCAAAACATGTCAGTTACATTTTTCATAGGTGTTACCTCTTTATTTATTAATTAGTTTTCACTTAATGTTATAAATCAATTTTTCTTGTTTTCAATTTTGCTTTCTTTGGTTATCTTTGCACACATCTGCTCATACCATTTATTTAGTAGCTTCTTTAACATTCAATTACGCTCACTTGCCTGCCTTGGTAATCTTTTCTTTTTTTGGATTTTTTCTTTTTATTTAATAGCTTTTTTACAACATATCAACTGTTGACTTTCGACTTTACCGTTACAGTTATTTATCTCTTGTTTAAACATAACTTAAACTTTATTTATGCCGTTTTTTCTCAGTTTTAGTTTGTTTTTTGGTTTTTCATCTGCTTTGTGTGTGCTCTTTGTGTCTGCGTGTTTTTTCTGAATACTTTCTGTTTATGATTATTACTCTTGCAATGATTCCGTCACATTCTAATCCTCCTCCTAACTCCTCTTGTTGCGCTCTAGTTTTGTACGCCGTTCCATAAATAATTCAGTATATCTTCTTAGTAGTTTGCGTGTAGTTTTGCCTTAGATCAGTTAACAATTTATTGGGGCTTCCGTTAATAATCCATTTAAGTATCTAAGATGCGAAAGGTACATGAAAAAGTTGCACATATGTAAGTGGGTGTGTGTTTTGCTTGAGCTGCGCGGCTCCAGAAAAAGTTAGCTAAGCTGATCGAGTGAGTACATTCAGAGTTTAGTTTTGGCAAGCCATGATATATATTTACTATACGATTTTCGGGGGCTTTAGTAAGTAGATGGAGACAACAGCGGGCGCGGGGGAGCATTCAGCTTTGCGTATTTGGTGAGAGCTTATAGCTAACATTTTTGGTTGCACATTTTCCTATAACTTTAACGTTTGTTTGTCAGGTTACGGTCACGCGATTTGTTCTAATCCCTTTTCTGTTTCTCTCCTATTATATTTACCCTTTTTTCTGTTCAACCCTTGGCGAATTCAGCCCTTTCCTTGACCATTTCCCGATCCGGATCAAGGATCTATATCTATGTCCATATGAGTTCATTTTGTTGGCTGGAGTTTTACTTGGATTTGCTTGTTTTTATACTTTCTCATTTATTTTTAATTGAATACGCGCCTCTATCCTTGCAAAGGCCCTTGAGCGCATTGCTTAAAAAATTATTCATAGCTTTCAACATTTTGCCTATAATCCTCCCTCAATTCTTCGTATTTTTTATTTTTGCTTGTTATTTGTTGTTGTTTTTTTTTTTTTGGTAAAATGCGTTCTTGAAAATACTTTGGGTTAACATTTAAATTGTAAATGGGTAACTAGCTGGGCTTGCTATTTCACAAATATTATTAGACACTGGGCGTTTATTATTACATACAAATGTGTGTTTATGCTTGCCTTTGCCTTACGATTTTTAGTTAACAACGCTGCTTATAGTTAATAAATCTTCTGTTATCCGTCCTTCGCTCTATTCTTTCTTTATAAATATTGTTATTATTATATATTCATTCATGATTTATTTTAGCATAATTCCATTTGCTGTGGTAGACTGAGAACGAAACGGAAACAGAAGTGTTTGCTATGGAGTAAATAATAAATAGTCGTAATATTTAAAGGATACCAATAACATTTATGCTAGAACTTCAATGCAGTTAATTTCGAATAGAACTTAGCTTTTGAGTCTTTGGCTTTAAAATCAACACATACACGGTAATATTGTTTTGTCTCCTAACTTTCTATGCCACACGTTTTTATAATATTTTTTGTTCGGCTTTTCCTCATTACGCTAAGTATTTTTTGTGGGTTTTTCATTTGTGTGTATTATGCATGCCTTTAGCTTCACAATTTATATGGTTCATATATATATTTGTTTTGTTTTTTATATATATAATTTGTTTGTTCTCTTCTTTTGCTTACGGACTAAACACGTTTTGTTTCTGGTATTCATAATTCATAGTTTTTTTTTTAGCATAAATTAATATGAATTTTATAGACATTCTCTTTGTAAGGTTTAGCGTTATCTCTATGATTAGTTAGCTTTACTTTCTCTTTGTTGGTAAATTGTATGCGTTTGTATTGGGGGTTTTTTGGCTTCATTTTCTTTTTTGTTTTTTCATTTTTATAAATATTTATGTATAACAATAAGGTAATTTTAAAATAATATCGCTTTAATACTTGAGAAGGAAGTTGTGCAAGATTTCGAATACATAAAACAAATAGAAATTAGATTTATGTGGTCGTATGGGTGTGTGTGTGTGTAGTACAGACGGCACATTGCGGCTATTGTGTTAGAAATTCCCTTGAGATTCGCTTGGAGCAAGTGCCTCGCCTCCCATAAATAGAGCTCTGCTTGGATGCTGCTGTCGGTCTGTGAGTGCGAAACTTGAGATTCGGCACGTCAAACAATCAATAAATAACTAATAACAAAATGCACTCAGCCACTGGGCATTGACTAGATGGGTGGGGGTTTCCTCTTTTTTTTTTTTTGTGTTGGTTTTTGTTTTTCGGGGCTTGGCAAACAACATAAATAGATTCCAACAGGTGTGGAGCTTAAAGCGGTTAAGGTTTCTGGGCGGGAAGGGGGCGGGGGCAAGTGGGAAGTTCGGTTGACAGGAGCTGAAGAATTCGCGTCCTTGTGCGCTTTTAATTCACGTTGAAGCTTAGCAGTTTCGACAATTGGCACTGGTTGTTGGATGTTCTGGATGAGTGATCTACACACAGGACCGGTAACGAAACTAGGACCTCCTACGGCTGGAAACAGACAACAATGGGGATGGGGGGGATTTATAGTAATAAATGAAAATATTAGACTGCTTGTGCTAGGGGATGCGCTACACGCTGGATGACGATCCGGTTGGCCAGCCCCGCTGAGCTGATTCCACCCAATCCCTTTTGGGGCTCCAGATCGCATCGCGACCAATCAAACTGGTAGGTGAACATGAACTGCAATCGCTGGCGCTTAGTAGACTTTGCGTTCCGGACCGAATTTGGGATTCACAAACGAGAAGCCGGCGAACTCGTCCTGGTTGATGCTGCGCACCACGTCGTTTCCGATCGGTGTGAGTACAGGATCCTCCTTGGTGAACTCCGCATCGAAGTTGTTGGCATCGCGTGGGTTTTTCTGTGGGTTTTTGATGTATAGTTATAAAATGTCTTGATTAAAATTCCGTTTTGTTGGCTCACCATTTTCGGTCGGAATGGTGGCTTTATGTTGCGCTTCTCCAGCTCCTTCCAGTCCAGCTTGTTGAAAAATGGATGCTTGCGTATCTCGTTCTCATCGCCAGTGCAACCCAGTCGCTGCTCCGGATTCTTGGTGAGAAAACCTATGGAATTGGAACAGAAATATAATATAATTAACTCTGGGAATTTTAAACAAATATATTATTATTAGATTTAGAAGATGGAATTTTATTTGTCCATGTAAAACCATTGAATTGTAAGGGTATTTATAGTTCTGGATCATTTCTCTTAAAAACATTATTTTATACTCTCAAGACGAACGGAAAAAGTTTAAAGTTTTTCCAAAAAATATTACTCATACGACACGTTAGACAATTGTTGTTTAATTACCTAGGCCCATATGAATAATAAGTTTAGAATTTACAACTGAACTATTTTCATTATTTTACACTAGAAAGTAAACTAGTAAAACTTTATTCCAAATTCAAAATGGCAACTATAATATTTAAATTATTTAAATTTGAAAGATGATTTGGTTTCCTCATATTTTTTAACAAATATATTATAATTAGATTTAAAAGATGGATAGTTCTGGATCGTTTCTCCTAAAAACATTTATACTCTCAAGACAAACGAAAAAAGTTTGAAGTTTTTCCAAAAAATATTACTCATACGACACGTCAGACAATTGTTGCTAAATACCTTGGGCCCATAGGAATAATAAGTTAAGAATTTACAACTGAACTATTTCAATTATTTTACAATAAAAAATAAACTAGAAAAATTTCATTCCATATTCAAATTGACAACTATAATACTTAAATTATTTAAATTTGAAAAAAATGAAGCAAATAATTCTTAGAAAGATGATTTGATTTCCTCATATGATCAAAGTCAGGTGAAGAAACCATTCTAGTAACAACAGATAGACCATCTCACCCTTTAGTATGGAGACGGCCTCGCGGGACAGCCACACCGGATAGAGGACGTCGTCGTGCATGATGGAGTCGAAGAGCTCGTCCTCGTTGTCGGCCTCGAACGGCGGCTGGCCGGCCATCATCTCGTACATGAGGACGCCCAGCGCCCACCAGTCGACGGAGGCGCCGTACTCCTGCTCCTTGAGGATCTCCGGGGCGATGTAGTCGGGGGTGCCGCAGAAGGTGGTGGTCAGCATGCCGTTCATGATGCCCTCCTTGCACATCCCGAAGTCGGCCAGCTTGCAGTGGCCCTCCTGGTCGAGCAGGATGTTGTCCAGCTTCAGGTCGCGGTAGATGACGCCGTGGGTGTGGAGGAACTGCAGCGCCAGGGTGACCTCCGCCGCATAGAAGGCGGCGCGCGAGGCCTCGAAGCGACGCGCCTTCTGGATCTGGAACATCAGATCGCCCCCGTTCACGTACTCCATCACGAAGAACAGGCGGTCCGGGGTCTGGAAACAGGAATGTAACGCAGTCAGGAAGGGATGGTTGGCGGCCAGCGCCAGGATGCGCTTCTCGGTCATGGTGCAATCGACGTCGTCGTCCTGGATGATTGCGTCCTTCTTGAGCACCTTGATGGCATAAATCTCGTCGGTGCCCTTCTTCTCGGCTAGCATCACCTTGCCGAAGGAGCCCTTGCCCAGAACCTTGATGAAATTGAAGTCCAGCAAGGAGCACTTGCCGGGTCGAGTCTCTCCGGTGGCCCCGCCCCCGCCCACGCCGCCTCCTCCCGATCCGCCCACCGCCAGGCTCATACAGCTGCTGCTATTGTAGCCGCTGGTCAGCGTCGTCGTCGAGTTGGCCAAGCTGTCCGCCGACAGGGCGCCGCTGCGGAATGACTGGCCCGGTGCCCCGTCGCCGTCGCCGCCCAAGGAGGCACCGTAGTTATCCTCGCCGCCCTGCTGGTTCAAGTACTTGGAGCGACGCGGCTGCTGCTTGTCCGGCGAAATGCCCAGCGAACTGAGGATCTCGGCCATCTGCTTCGTGTTGATGCCACACGTATTGGCCACGTTCTTCTGGCACCGCTTGTGCACGTTCATCCCGCAGGTCTCGCACTGCAGTCCCTGCTTTATCAGGCCATATAGTAGGGATCCGCAGTGGTCGCAGAAGGTGAACCGCTTGTAGCTGTGCACCACAAACCGATGCGGCACGTTCACATTGAATCTCTGGCCCGCCGGCACCACCTCCACTTTGGTTTGCTAAGGGATTATAAGAACATTCAAATTTAATTCTCAGGATCTCGGGGGATATTCCACTGGCTCTTACCTCATCTCGCATGCCCGGACACTTGGACACCACGGACAGGTGACATTTTTTATGTACAACTAACGTGCAGACTAGAATGTGTTTGTTTTGTTTTTGGGAGAGAAACCAAAGGCGAAATAATTAATATCCAATCTTGGCAGTTGGCGACTCGAGAATTCGATGGCAGAGTGCAGGGCAAATTATCCAAAACTCTATGAAAACTATACGCTCTGAAAGACGATCGCCCTGATGAAAGGTAATCAACTACTATATCTTCTATACAACTTTTTGAGTTACAAATACAAAATATATCTGTTTTATGTTAAAAAAAAAAATCTCAACATATTTAAAAAAAAACTTGATAGGCAATTAATATCTAATAATTATTATTAAAATTATTATAGATTAAAATTGTATAAGACTTTTCCTTAATATTTGGAAATTCGTACCCTAGATCAAGCAAACAAAGCTATAGAATCAATTTTTTTAAAATATTATTATTTCTAAACGCTTATTTTATAGTTTACATATTAAGTTTCTTGCAGAGCGATCTTCCTTCAATCTTAGACTCTAGACATACGAATGTGTATATTTACAGGATTTCGTTTGAATTAAGCTCGTTGAAACATTCAGGGTTAGACACAAAGTCCGCAATCGTGGCATTCAATTGAAACTTCAATTTCAAATAAGTAGATATCGAATACTTTTCGAATATCACGATTGGCTGGACCGAAATTAGTTGATAAACCGTCGACTGTTTCTTGTTGTGCAGTGTGATTATTCACATGTTGGTCAGTGGAGTTAAGTTGTGCTTGGTCTGTGGTGTCTGTGCTCTAATTAGTGTTTCGGTTTTAATCACAACATTTAAATGATTCGTGCCAGATATTTGGAACCAAAACTACTTAGAAAAGAGAGAAGTGACGGAAGGAGCCATTTAAGCAGATTTTATTTTATGACAACAATGAATAAAAGTAAGGAAAACGAAATCCCATAGTATTTCTAATAATAATATTCTTGTTGGGAACACCTTCTTAACAATTCCCGAATTATTTCATCTGATCCCTTTGAAATTTAAAAAGGATTCTCATAAAAGACAGATTATCATGCATAAACTAACTTTTGTAAAGATGATATGGCTTTCGTATGAACCAATGGTAATCCCAATTATTTAATGCCCTATTGTTTAAGTTTAGTGACATAGTTATAGTTTCCATAGCACTGATATTTGCTTAGTTCGATTGTTTTCCATGTCTTAAAATTAAATTTTGATTTAAGATCCTAGACCCTAAAGACTACAACTTGGTTTAACTAAGGCATGCACGATATAAAGTAGAGAAAAAGTAGCAAATGGGCAGACGGACATAGTTAAATGTGAATGTAATGATTCTAAACTTTAAAGAACTTCCGGTAGTTCCGATATGTTTCCGATTTGAATCAAATTAGTATTTCAAGACCTGCATTCCTCCTCATACGTGAACTTAAAATGCAAATGTGATGAGAACAAGGACAGGGGACACTCATCCGGATGGATTAATGGTGCAGTGGGAAGGGACCTGTGCCAGGACACTTTTCCTAGGCAATCGTGACTCAAGCAAGGTGATCAAATGCATTGGACAATGCTGAAGACTGGACAATACCGTTTAGGTATTTTAGAGTATGGTAATAAAAAAAAAAAAACATATTTCTTTGATCTCAAAATGCAGCCAAAGAAACCCAATGGCAACAACATCAACAACGACAACAGCAAACAACGAATAACGAACAACGAACAACGAACAACGTACAACGAACGTAACAAGCAAATGCAAAGTGATATGGATTGGATATAGCTTGTCGGGGGCTCCTTTCCTGGAGCTCCGAAGCGCCAGAGCTGAGCTGCTCTGGTTTTCCGTTTAGTCTGAAGCAAAACACATACCTTGACATTGATAGCCTTGTTTACCAATTCCCCTGCAAAAAGGCAAGAAATTCCATGGCTATTGTATGTATATATATTTTGGTAACTGAATGAGATTGGTGGTGTGCTTGTGTGTTTCTGATTGAATTGTGTGTGTGCGAGTGTAATTAGTTTTCTTGAATGGAGAATGAGAATCGCCGATGGTAGCCCCGCATAAGGAAAATCAAGCATGATCTGATCGTGAACCCAGGATGATCCCCAGCAGCAACCCAAGCAGTAGCATTCGCTATAGCCCATTAGAGAAACCAGGTTAATGCCAATGGATATATATGTGAAGAGAACCAAGGAAATTAAAACTGCATAATAGTGAGCCACCCAAAAAATAGCCAGAGTTATGAGCCAGTAGAGCGATGATGAGTCGAGGGATGAGAGAGATAGTGATGGGATACATTAAGAACATAGAGGTAAATAGAGTAGATCAACCCAAGGCGAATCGAATCAAATCAAAAGTAGTTCAGATGGTGAGAGGTGTGTGTAAATCAAGTCCCGAAAACTAAATGCATGTTCAGATTAATCACTGCGGAATACAACTTAGGGATGTACGGAGATGTTTCAGCCCTTCGGTGAGTACGTTACGAGAGTTGTACGATTATGTGTGCTGGGCTGGGCTCCACTTACCAGATAAACTCGCGGCAATGCGAACAGAAGGTGGGTTGACGCAAAAACGTTGCCATGAACTTGTGGCCATTCACCTGGTAGGTAGGAATAAAAAAGTTAGTATAGAATATAATAATAGTTTAAAGAAAACATCCTAATGAAGTCAAAAAAATTTTAAAAATTATCTTGATTTCATAAGAACGAAAACTTTAAATTAAATATGTAAACTAACCTGATGGACACGACGACGCATGGCACCGCGACGGCGGTTGAATCCAGCTCGCTCTTTGAACTCCTTGTTGACGGCCACGGTGTGCTCCACCACAGCCTCAGCTTTGGCTTTATCTAATAGCAAAAAATAATAGGTTAAAAATAAGTAATTTTTCCAGACAATCCTTAAATCTATACGTACCAGTACGATTCTTCAGCTCAATGATGACGTGAATCTTTCCCTGGGGCTCCAAGTTAACCTGTAAAAGGTTTTGATTATCACAGGTAATGTCAAATACATATTAAAATAATCAAACATACCCATAGATCTTGCACAGCCGTCTCGCTCTGCATGAGGTCCTCGAAGGAGATGATGCAGTTGGCCACAAAGTCATCTGGCGGCAGAGCGGCATCATGAAAGACGGTCAAGTTGATGTTGCTAACATTGGTCACGTCGTGGACGAACTGTTCGTTCCAAACGGGATCAAATGTCTTTGGCCGTGTGGTGGCTCGATCTGAAAGCAAGGAAATGTATTATTAATGGTGATTCATTATTATAATCAATAAAAAGAGGGTTCAAGGTAAGTTTACTTTAATTAAGGAATTATTAAATGAAAGAAACCTGAGCTCAAAGCCTTGTTCAAAAGACCCTTTTAAGTATGCAACATTATTTCTACAGAAATCTTGTTAGAAACATGACGGATTTCGGTTGGAAAAAACTCTGTGACTCCTCCATAAGTAATTTACTAGATTTTCTAGGCACTCACCAAAGTGACTCTCGTCGACATCTATGGAGACATAGGGATCGATGAGCTGCTCGTCGGCCAGTTTGCCGAAGGTGAGATTGTGGCGCTTCTGGAAGTCTGTGGGTCGCAGGCCGCTCGCCTCGCACACCTTGATCTGCAGCTTGCCCGTGAACATGGTCGTAGAATCGCCTGCTCTAAGTCCTGGTCCTAATCCCGATCCTGATCCTGATCCTGCCGCTCCTCGGTCCTCCGTGCGATGTCCTTGCGTGTGTGTGTGGGGAGCAGCGGTGGATCACTCACAATGTGCAACTGGGCTGGTGATCCTGAACTGCAAATGGAATTCGAATAAATGGGTTAAGAGGTTGTGAATTCGAGATCGGTTTGTGCAATGCCCCAGTGGCACTCGCAACTTTCGCTGTGGGCCAATGTTAGCGTAGGTCATTGACACCCATGAATGGCGTATGCGGTACACTCGATTCACTCTCAAGGTCGCCAGCGCCTCGCATCGATGGAATTTATGCACATACATACACCTTTACCAGAGGTCACAATAGTAGATTCGAATTTTGGAAACACGCACTTTAAGGAAAATAATTTTTATGTGATTTTCTTTCCTCGCAAATATATTTTAAGCTCTGATAAATAGATATTTATTTAGATCTCATCTTCTACTTTTTCGTTACAATAATCAATTAAATATGATTTTTTTTGGAACTCAGAAAAACGGAATTTTGTCGCAAAAAAGCCCAAACAAGGAAGTTGAACAATCAATTAAAAAACATTCTTAATATGAATCATATTTTTAAGAAAAATACGTATTGCAATTAAAGTGGTTGACTAATATATATAAACTGTAGACTTTTAAAATTTGTTGTACATTTCTTTGAATTTATTTTATCTCCACTAGTATTTTGTCCGCCACTGTGTTGTGTAGACTTGTGTGTGTACATTAGGCAATCCGTGAAACAAAAAATCGAAAATAGTACGCGACCATCATCTGCTATGGTAATATTTCTGGCATATAAATCATTCCAAGGAGTGAGTGCAAAACTTTGTACATTGCGCCATTCCACAGATCGTTGTAAATAAATTGGCCCCCAATTGGGATACAAAGCCTTTTTCTAATTGGCAAATCTGGTGGGAACAAGTTGTTGTGTCTTTTTTTTTCTCATTTTCAACACAATCTTAAGTACTTTCAGTGTCGTTTGGCTTTGATTACATATAATGCCTTTGCTTGCTCACTTTTTTTATGCAAATTCTTTGTGTGCATGTATAGCACATACACACACACTTTCACACACACGTATACACTCGCAGTCAGCTTTTTTCCACAGATAAAACAACAAAGAAAGAATAACAAGCAATTCTAATGCTGTCTCTCGCTCGCACCTCTACCACCCACCAATACACGCGCGAATCACGCCCACTTCAATTGGAAACACCTGACGAAACGAAACGCCAATAAGTGCGCTCAATTAACTAAACGTTTGGCCGTCCAATTGGAAAATTTGTAATTTTCTAATTGGTGAAAACGAAGGTCTTCCAGCAGAGTTGCCGTACCGTTCGGCTGTCAGTTTGACACTAATGAGGAAAAAATGGCAGTGTTGGTAAACAGACGAAATGGCGCCAAACGTTTGTTTAAAAATTAAAATTGGTAAATGTTTTTTATCGTTTTTTTTTGTTTATCGAGTGGTAATTTCATTATTATTTACACAATTAGTTCACGGCACTGATTTTTTATCCTTTTAGTTGAAAACCAAACAGTGAACGAGAAAGTTTAAGAATTGAGATATATATTTGCCACATTTTGGTATTATTTTATTTGTTACATTTATTAACTGAGGTTTTTCAGAAAAAAGTTTAAAAATGAATCAAAAATGATTTTTCTGCGCGCGGCAAGGCAAACTTTTTTAAAATATTAAAATTTTCTGCGCAGCGCAACGCTTTATTGCGCCAATCGTTATCGGATATCGAAGTGATCTAGTAAACTGCGACTGCGCGATATAGCGTTGCCAGACTATGTGAGTGCAAATCGATAATCAGCAACGTGAAATATTTCCAATAAGAACCAAATTCTGAACTATAACTTTATTTCATTTTTAAGTTATTGACGTTTTTATGTTTATGTGGAATTAAATACGTTCATGATTTTATACGATTACTTTTACATTTGTAATGTACTTCATTTTTAAAAATTATCCGCACGTAACTACCCAGTGGGAACATTCCTCTGGAAAATATGATATTTTCATAAGGTTTCTCCACACAAGCGGAAGGGACAAAACCTCATTCACCCCTTACATTTCATTCATCTCTGGTTTCAAAATACACAAGGGTAAATGAGGTTTCTATGTGGCTTTCCAAAGGAATTTACATTTCCGTCGCCTCCTAAAAAAACAGGATTTCCAACACTTTCTGTTAAAAGGAACAGGATTTCCAACACACAAAGAACCACCTTCTCACTTTCCCGGTGGGTATCACTAGAACACATACACTCGCTCAACATATGTATGCGCTTATACACACACGCACCCACACAGTTACACGCACCCTGTTTGCACAGCGTTTTAAATTGATTGGTTTTCCCAAGGAATTTCCTTTGTTTTTCGACGATTTCGAATTGATTCACAAAATCACAGTGTCCAGCATTTTCCGTTGCATTGCTGGTAGTTCTTATTGGCTTTAAAATGGTTTCGCGTATTAATATTGATAAAAATGTTCACGCCAAATCTTATTGGAAAAACGTTAGGGATGTGCCAAGATGGGCGATATAAATCGTGGGGGTGTTTAACAGCTGTTAAGCTAACTGTTAAGTTACTGGCAGTGGTGAACCACTTACAGGTGTAACATATCGGAAAAAACTAAATATCTATAAACAAATTGAAATTGTCTTACTAAAATTGTAAAATCGGACAAGAAGATAAATAAATATGATAATGGTAGGGATAGGGATAGTGCTGTATAGCGCCAATTATTCAAAAATCAAATGTATATCGATGACTCTAAATGGTTTGTGTCTAGGAAATGCTCAGTAACAGCACGCCCCTTATTTTCTCGAAAACTAAAAGTTTTTTAACCCATGGTTCATGTCCTGGAGTTGGCGGCATTTCCATATGCGTTCAAATTATACCCACTGATAAGCGATTTTCAAAAATATTACCTTTTACCCTACCATATAGATCTATAGATGGGGCATTTAGATCTCTTATTTTTCTCAGACTGCAGTAGAAACACCCTAGGCACAGCCAATAAAACTCCAAATACCACTGCTGAACATATTTTTTCTTGTAATTCACAATATTATGAGTACAGTACAGCTCGGTGTATACTTACAAATAACTTACGTACATTAAAGCTCGTTTAAAATAGATACATACATTGTTTGATTGCACATTTGACTTTCTTAAAATACAATACGGAGAGCTCCAATTATTTCGCATTTTGTTCCGGATTATATGGCCCCGGAACTCAAACGCGAGAGTGCAGAAAACAAAAATTGACATTATAAATATGCAACAGATAATCAGGAGATATACGAATGTACGATTATATCACAATAATAAAGGAATACATACATTTTAAATGATATTTAAAGCCCGACATATAACGACGCTCAAACAGGTGCCAACACTCAAGCATATAATACTAATTTACACTAATATTTCGTATAAAACATAGCTATTATTGTTACTGAGGGTCCCACGGATCAGTGCTGGAAAGGTGAACTCAATCGAAAATTCGGTTTCCACTCGATGGGGGCTTTCAGTTGTCGTTGGACAGATTTGTGATCTTGGCCGCATACATGCTGGCCACCTTGTAGATAAATTCATACTGCTCCTTGGTCTGAACGGCGCTGGCGCGACCTCTCCTCACGTAGTAGACCAGCTGGGGTATGTCCACGGATCGCTTGGGCGTCTCCAGACTGCGGATGGCCATGTCCGAGGCGATGATGGTGCCGGTTCGACCCGTGCCTGGAGAACAGTGAACGGTTAGCGGTCTGGGGGAGAAACGGAGAAGGGAAGACACAAAACATTAAAAAGCCATGCAAGACGGAACTGCTTTGATATGCTATAAATTAGAGTCCTGCATGAGTGTACTTGAAAGTCAATTTTTAAAATCAGTTAACTTGGATCACTTTTTTTCATTGGATTTTTTCATAAATACATATAAAATAATTTCGAATCATTAGTAATTTTATCACTCCCATTCACTTTTATGCTGTGCTTGTATCACTTGTTTTTTTTTTACGAGTGATCAAATGAAATAAGTGATCCAAGTTAACTCACTCACTCTATTTTCAAAAAATTGACTTGTTTGTCAATTCAAGTGTACTCATGCAGGACTCTAGTATAAATATATGAGGATCTATGAATTACATTTATTATATTTTTTAGATATTTTCTTTATAACACAGAAGTCATTATTAAAGAAATATATGTTTTAAATTCGATATATAAACAGATATTTATTTTAATCACAATAATACATTTCAACTTACCCCTGCTGGTTTCGCATGCCACTCCTGCTGGAAATGTTTCCATTGATCTCTTGGCTGGACGTGCTGCCCGCCTCGGCCTTCGAGCCATCCGCATCCATCGAAGTCTCCAGGGTGGCCGACTTCTCGCGCAGCTCGTTGGCCTGCTCCAGGCAGTATGACTTGAGCGAGGATCGCGCCTCCAGCAGCATGGCGATGATGGGCGCCTCCTCGGCGGGAACACCCGCCTCGGGCCATTTGTACCAGTAGTGGGTAAGCTCGCGACTCTCCTCGCCATCCACTCGCTTGAGGACCAGGGTGGAAATGGCATATCGGTCCTTCACCTCGCGGTGCTTGAGGGTCACCTGGTAGTCGCCGTAGCTGCTGTGATTGTCCAGCGTCGCCGAGGGCGGCAGGTATTCGGCGCACTTCTCGATGCCGTTCTCGCTGAGATCCGTCGCCTGGATGATGACGCGGGACTGCTGCTCCCAGATCATTCGCCAGAAATCGCTGGTCGTGCTCTCCAGCGGCGCCTGGCAGGCTATGTAGTAATTGGGTGCATCCCGAGGGCCCTAAGTTAAGTAGAAAATCGGTTAATATCTTTGTGAAGGCGTAGGTCTTATCTACAAGATGGTAAACAATTTTTATTTGAATTTTTTAATTTTCCCCTTAAAAAAAGAGGCTAGCGTGAGTAATGACATAACCATTAATTAAAACCTATTGCGGCTTAATTTTGCCTCTGCCCACACAGAGCGACTGGCGATGGCGATGAGCTGCTCGCTTCTCTCAGATAAATGCCCATAAAATCGCACAACAGACTTCTGCTGCTTAAATCTCAACATGCTCAGTTTGCTTATCGCCAGGTGCAATGCCGATGAACGATGAACGTTCGAAATGTTTCGCTTCAATGCGCCGCAATGCATCACTTCACGCCTCAATGCAGTTGTTTAAAGTGCGTTTTAGTAAAACAACTGAAAACATCTGAACTGATGGACACTTGTCCTGTGCACAGAAAACAATTAGTTATTCTCTTTTTAAAATTTTCTATAAAAAGGTGACATATTACTAAGGTCTTATTACACACAATAAACGTTTTACTTAAAGCAAACGATTATACAAATTATTTTAATTAGTGCAAAGAACCCGAAATTAGGCTATTATCTCATTTTAAGCTTTGTCAGCTTTATAGAAGTTCTAGAGTTTATTTACACAGAACAAATAAGTTTGTTATTTTCTGTGCAGATAAGCACAATCTTTGTATCTTTTAGATAATGCATCATATTTTCTAGTTTTCATTGTTCTTGAATGATTTTATAACTTGAAGTTGTAAGATTGAAGATCATAATTGCAAAATAAAATAGCATGTTCGTTTTATGAAGAGAGTTTAATTTTCCCCATTTTATTCCATGTATGCAAAACACTTGATTGTTTTCTGAATGATTTTTGGAGGCTTAAAGCGTGGCGGTGGATCGTGATGTAAGGGCATTCACACTTCGATGATCTTGGCAGACACTTTCCCTTGGCGCAATTATTACTTTTTGCTGCTTTTCGCCGGGGCCCAGGCCCATTTGCTTGCACGGATCTGGGCAACAAAGACGATGAGCCTATTTCACAGTCATGGCCAACGGAGGAGTCTCTCATCGGGCGTGTAATTATTCGGGCGCCATGTTTAATGGCCCTCGAGGGGCCCGCGAAGATGATTCCAGTTAGGGCAAAGCGTCATGCAAGGCTCGCCACGTATGTTAACCACTCCAAGATGCCTCAGTCCAACCACCCACCCACCCAATATTTGTGTGTGAGAAGCCACCTCGTCAATTGTTTGTCTAGCTTTTGGATGAGCCGATCCGTCGATCCGCCGCCCACTTGGGAGACACTGCCTCGGTTACTTACCCGCACATAATTGGCATTAATGTATTCCGTTTTGTCATCGTCGCCTTGCCGCTGGAGCACCACCCGCGTCTCAGGAAGCGGAATCACGTTGGCGTAGCTGCGGTTCGAGGTCGAGATGTTGAGTCACCATCGTCGGAGGTGTTGTTATTGGTTCAGGGGAGAAAAAAGCAGGAAGAGATCAGTATTGTAATTGATTCGACAATTTGATGTGAACTCGTGCCGAGAAAGTGAACCCTTAATTACAGTAGATACTGGTTATGAGAAAACAACAAAGCCCAATGAGTTATCTTTATCGAATATCAAACAATTGCAGGCTTACCAGTTTTTAAATAATTCTACATAAAGTTTTCTCATTTACCATTGAACTACGCCTAATCTTATCAATTCACATTTATGTTATCAAATCATTTAGATTACATAATTGTGACCCAGCCCTTTAAATGATGGTAACACACCTAAATCAGATTGATAGAGGTTTTCTAGAATATTGTTTAACCGATATCTAGACCAAAAAAAAATCGATATGAAACGTAGATCGATTTTACATTATTTAAAGGTAAATTTGACCTGATCATGTAAAAACGATATGGGTTTTGCATGACCGGAAATTTACATGGCCATATCGATTTTACGAGAACATGCTTTTTTAAGATTTTCCCAATTTACTCACCGGTTTTTGTCCTCACAGCCCGGGGGCACCTCGTCCGCTCTGGCGATGATCTGCGGCACGTCGCGGAACTCCTCGAAAACGTCGGATCGCCGCTCCACGAAGCGGGCCAGCTCGCCGGCGGTCAGCAGATTGTGCCGCAGCGAGGGATCATCAAAGGCCGCATTGCCGTAGGTCCTCTTGGAGGCCCTTACATCGCGACCCTTGCGTCGCACACTGCCTAACACCGAGACATTGTCCAGGGAGTAGGCATCCAGGCTCACCGGACGACACCTCTGGCCATAGGACATTTGCTTCTGGCGCTTGCGCATCAGGTAGAGGAAGGCCACCAGCAGGATGAGGGCCACCACACCGATCACGCTGACTGTGATGGCTATGATCACATTCACATCCGTCCCATTGCCCTGGGCATTGGTCTGCATGTGGTCCAGTTCGTTGGGATAGGGAGCCATGAAGGTGGGTGGTGCCATTTGAGGCGCCTTTGTGGTTGTGGTGGTGCTGCCCACCAAAGTGGAGGATTCAACATATTCCTCTGTGGTTGGTGCAACTGTGGTGGTTGTCGTTGTGGTGCTGCTCGTTGTGGTGCTGTCGTCCAGCAGACTTATCACCACTGGTTGCATTGTTGTGGTGGTTAAAGGCCTCTCCGTTGTAGTGCTTGTGGTACTGGTTGTTGTTGAACTGGGTGTTGTCGTTGTCACCGCCATCGTTGTCTTGGCTAACTGCTGCTCGGTGTCCTGCTCTTCAACCACCTGTTGCTGCCCCTCATGTTGCGACTCCTTTTCGAATTCCTGGCCACCTGTTGCCGCCGCTGTGCTCTCAACCGTTGCAACAGCAACACCTGCTGCCGCTGATGTTGTCGTTTCGGGTGCGTTTGCCTCGCCTATGTTGTTGGTTTCCAGCGAGGATTCGTGTTCTTTGCTCAGCTTACTCAGGTCACTAAGGGAACTAATGCCCCCCGATGGTGTTGGGGTGGTTTTCAGCTCACTGCTCTCTGTTATGGCCACACTGTTATTGACCGCGTTATCGGTTTTCTCAGCTGTTCTTAGCCCATTCGCATTTGGAATTGGATTTGCACTCAAACTGTCGTCGCGCGTCTTCACTGTCACTGCCTCCAAATTCACTTCATTGCTAATTTGCGCAATTTCCGTTTGCGTGGGTGTAGCTACAGTCGATGTTGTACTTGTTGTACTTGTTGTACTCGCGGCGGTACTGTTTGTAACGATGATTTCGGGCCGAATCGAAGTGCTCACCTCGCCAGCCACTCGCACACTAACCGATGTTGCTGTTGGCTCAACGGTTGCTGTTGCTGGCGGCTCGCTCTCTGTTTTTTTGGTTGTGGCAACGATGACGTCGTTACTGTTATCGTCTTCGTTGTTGTTGCTGCTGCTGATTTCCGACGCTTTCATTGCCATTTCAGTTGTACTCTGTGTACTGGGGGTGGTTACAACAGTCGATGTTGCTGCCGATAATGTTGCAACTGCTGCTGGTGTTGCTGTCGTACCTGCAGATGTTGCTGATGCCTCTGTAGTGGTTGTAGTAGTAGTGGTAGTAGCTGCCTCTGTTGGTGAGGTTGTTGATGATGTTGCTGCTGCCTCTGTGGTTGCATTTGGTACTGCTGCTGTTGTGGCTTCGGATGTTGCTTCTTGTAAGACTATTTCAGGCGATACATACTCTACAGATAAGGTAGCTTCGGTTGTGGTGGTTGATAACGTTTCAGTTGAATTTAGCTTGGATGTTTCACCTGAGAGAGATTCTTCAAGTGCTGTTACATTCAACAGTTCCGTTTTTGTTGGATCCACCCTCGCTGTAACAGCAGATGTTGCAGGTTGCTCTGTTGTTGCAGCCTCTGTTGCTGCTTCCCTCTCCGTTTGAGCCTCTGTTATCGCCTCTGTTAACTTGGCATTCGCTGTTTCGGCCATCTTCTTAACCATAGGAACCTCCAAAAGTTCCGTACGAACAGTTGTGGTTGTTATATTCTGATCTGCAGCCTTTGTTGTGACTTCATTTTCTTTCAAACCCAAGGTAACTTCACTTTTTGGTTGACTTTCCTGCGCCAGAGCTTCGGTGGTGGCTTGTGTGGCACCCTCGGTGACATCCAGAGTGGTTCTGACCACGAATTCAGTGCGATTCTCTGGTGTTGATGGCATCATGGCAATGTTCATCCAATCCAGCAGATTCTTCTCCTTGTGCTGCTCCGTTTTATTCAGCGGCAGGTCTATGTCGTTTGCAAGATCCGTTTGGTTGAAAAGTGGCAAAATGGTTGTGGTTGTCAGAGGGGCTTGGGGTACCGCCTTCATACCCGCCAGACTCCAAGCTTCAACGTTATTGGGGAGCGTTAGTAGCTGGTCATTCGTGGAGTTCTCGCTGATAAACTTGGCTCGCTTCTCGGGCAGTTGGCGAACATCCGACTGCGAGGTGGACTCCTCGATGGCGTTCTCATTGGAGGCGAAGGATTGGGAAGTGGGGGTCCTTTGAGTAGATGTTGAAGTGGTGCTAGCAGGTGTGGTTGTCATGGGTATGGCCCTCAGTTTCATGGGCGTAACCGACTCGGCAGCGATTGATGAGTACTGCATGGATCGGCCAAGATCGGAGGAACGAGTGGTGGTGGTGGTATTAAACAATCTCTCCGTGGTGCTTGAAACTTCTAGAGTTACAGGTATTATAGAGCTGTTTTCTACTGTTACCGATTCAGTGGTCTTCTCCATTACTTCAGCTTGAACTTGTGGTTCTTCTTTTAAGGGAAAAATATCCTTTAATTTCACTTCCTTTTGTTCCGGTTTCTCATTTGGTAGAATATATTCAGTGGTTGTGCTTATAATCTGTTTCAAAGTAGTTACTTCTCTTACAGGAGCTTCAGTAGTTGTCTTATCAACGAGATTAATTGGGTTTTTAGTGGTAACTGCAGGGGTGTCCTTATTTCTCATTTCTTTTACGAGAACCGCTTGGGTTTCCTCTTTTAACTGAGCTTCTCCCTCCTTCGATTTCAGTTGATCCTCTACTATAATATTCTCGGTAGTGCTGCTGAATTCATTTAGAACTAAAGCTTCAGTGGTTTCCTTAACGTTGAGATTCTCTTTTAGACTTTCCTTTAAGGTTTCAGTTTGATTTTGTTTCTCAGCCTTTATTACCCCTGCATCTTTCAGTTCGTTTTGCAAGTTAGCCATATCGGATTCTCCCTTTAATTCAACCGGTTCCCTGGCGCTCCCACTTTCCCTGGTCGCCGGAACAATGTCAGGGTCAGTGGATGTGGATTCGGAAGCCACCGCCTGCTCCAAGCCGGTGGTTTCTCTTTTCGCAATGAAACGTGCCTGCGTTAACATTACGGCCAGGGCGAGCACTAAGCCACCACTGAGCCACCGAGCCACACGCATCGTATGTCGCTCCCTCTCGCTCTACAGCCGTATCTCTTTCTCTTTCCTTTGGTGCGCCTCTGTGGGTCAAGTCGATTCCACGTTCGACTGGGCCTTAAAATCGCTTGTTTTGGTTTCCACCTGTGAGCTTGAGTTATTGCTGTTCGCTTTTTCGTTCCTTCTCTTATTATTATTTTCAGCAATTTGCAACGATATATTCTTTTTCTTATATTTCTGAGATTTTTGCCTCCATTTTTACCAGGGAAATACACCTGCAAGAGAGGGAAGAACAAATTAGTTAGTTAAATGTTATTTATTTTCTATAGGTTAGAGTTCCCCTTAAATGGCCTGACATATTTGGATAGCAGTACGTTCAAGTATTCCGTGGAAAGTGAGTAACAATTTCCCTTTCTATAAGTGGAGCTCTCCATAAACATAATTAATGTCATTAAGACACGTTCCGCATTCCCCTAAATACAATAAGCTGTACCCTCAAGTTCAAGGCCGAGTGGCTCGTTTGGGAGAATTAAATATAGCTCAATTATTGGTAATGAATAGTCGAAGCTCCGTAATTGGAATTACTTGAGAGTCAAAATCTATTTATATATTAATATATCATTTTTCTACGCTAAAAAGATCATTAAAATAAGTTTGATTAAGTATTAAACATATTTATTTTTGTTTCTCAAGTTCAGTTTGTCATTTTCCCACAATAAATAATGTCAAGGAAGTCCGAAAGGTTCATTGTACCGAGTGGCCAAAAATAGTTCACATCAAAGTGTTTACCATCTCCATCTCCACCACCCACAGCAAATACAGCCGTAGCTTCAACTTTGAGTTGCGAACCATTCATATAAACCCAATCGATGTCATGGAACAAAGTGCATAGGGTTCATTCAACCACGGCCTCCACAGCGACGAACCCATCAAAAGTTGCTCTGGGAGTTGAAGTATTCGAGCTGAACTGCAAACAGAGCCACCCAATAATAACTATAGAGCGGATATACGAAAATATCCAGAGAGGGCGCGAGTTTGCCGACTTTATTCACCATGGTTATCGCTGGGTTGTTATCTGTCGATCCAAGCGATGTCATGTCAGTGGTGCATGCAACCTCACCGCCTCAGAGTGGAAAAGCCCCTGTTCCCCTTTTTTTTCCAGCCACCTGGGACATTCATAAGCCTACCCCCATGTCAGCAATTAACACTAAAAGCCCCAGTTCGGTGGTGGCTCGTCACTAATGACGTTACCCTTATGGTGGTGCGATATTCAGGCGTGGCGCCACCCTCTCTGCGTTCCCCCTTGAAAAAAGCCTTTAACCCAGAGTGTTACCCCCTTTAAATAGCGCTACTTTCTTGTCGAAATACTTGAAATTCCACGCTTTGTTTTAGGGCTACAGCTTCGCAATCCCATTCACCTGCCATTTTGCCATGCGCCCGCTGACTAATGTACCGCTAAAAATATACCTATATTTATGCACCTGTGTGCTTTAGAGATAAGATTTGCTTGAGCCAGACGGGGACAAAATCACAGCGAGGCAGGTGTTTTGTAATTTTTTTTATATTTTTGAATGTCAACGTTGGTGCTGATAAAAAAAAAAGCAGCGGCAAAGGTAAATAGTTATCGGTGATATTGTTGTCACCGGAGGCCAGCCAGGTGGGTTGTAAAAGGGCATAACGATAGCCACTGGCGGGGGCAATGCTATATTGACTTTAAAAACAAAGCAAATTATGTGACTTATTTTGAAAAAAAAACATTGGGTATGCTAAACCAACAAGAAGTGGTCATCAGTCCCATAACCAACACTTCTATAGATCGAAAATATATTGAACTTTTAGGTTCTTATAATAATAAAACCCAGAGAATAGTTATAGTATATTATTATAAGGTATAAGCTACACATTAGCGTGATTTGAATCTAAAGATAAAGATAATGATTAAATATGTAGGTATACATTCAAATGTAAATGATCTACATGTAACTCGATGATCTCGTAGCCTTGCATTACTATGCGTCGATTCTTCTTTCCTTTTGAATTTACCCGATTTTACCAAGGATGCCAGATCTCACAATAGTCTTCTTCTTCCTCATTTTTAAACTTTAATTTCCATTTTAGAGTGACCAGACTTGCGCCAAAATTATTTACTGGAGAATTGTTGGAGAATTGCTGATGATTTCTACAATGTAGATGTAGATGTAAAATTTTCAAAGTATGCAATACTTATTTTTCTTTTTAGTACCAAAACCCCGCACAGATCGCACAATGGCGCCACTGCTTAAGATCAAGCTTTGGAAATAATAATTCTTTGGATACTGATACTAGGTTGATTGAAGAACCAAGAACCGAGAAAAGATAGAACCACCTATTGATACACTGAACCACAGCCGGGGGCAAGGGAGTGCCAGGAAGACAAAACCCCACAATCTGAACCCTCCACTTAACCCAAATGAAACCAAAGTACCCACAAGCCCGTGGGCTCGGTTCTCTACTGAAAACGTGACTCGATCGGGGAATCGAGTGCATCATGGACAAGGGGAATCAAGGGGATCGGAGGAGCAGGTGCATGTACGAGATGTAAACAGAAATCAGCATTAGAGAAAAACGAGCTCGCTGGGGAGTCGACTCATTTCCGCTTCAGCAGCACGCACTCAGGATGAACGAATGGCTCAGAATTCTCCGACTTGGGATCTCCAGACAAAGCCATATCCGACTCCGAACTGAAAATCCAGCGATAACGATCGGTTCGAGGATGATCGCGACTCGCGAGAGAATGCTAAACCAGTTTTTGCGGCCCAATAAAGCCGCTTCGATTTCGATTTGCAATTATGATTTCACTTGCATTGCGATCACGATGGATGTGGAGAATGGCTGACGATCGCCTGGTATCTTAATGATCTCGGGAGTAGTCGGTAGTTGTTATTGTGGCCTGTGATAATGACAGCCATCTGGGTAGTCATGACTTGGATCTGCGCCGGTGATTGATGGCCAGAAGCTTTGAGCGATTAAACTTTTTAAGCGATTAAAGTTGAAAGATTATTAGGAATTTTCCCAAGTTAGCTACGGCTGGAACTCCAATTCGCTTAATGCAAATGATATTTTAGCTTACAAATATTGAAATAAACAGAACGGGATCATTATATTTAATGAACCGAATTTTTAAGTCTATAAGAAGTGTGGTATATTAATTTATAAATTAGAATACTTCCTAAAGACACGAAGATCATTAAATCAGAGAAGTTCCTAAATGAAGGAGTATAATTAAATATCACCAGCTGAAAGATGAATCACTTAAAGTTAATACACTTCGTGGAAATGGCTCATCTTAGCTTGAATTACTCTCTTAATCCAAAGAAACATCTAGCTTAACCCAAATGACGGTCTACGCAGACTCCCGGCTCGATGTAGAATTCCAAAGAATGCCAACAGTTAGCTTGGATTATTCCAGTGGCAGATAAATAGACGTTTGTATAAGCTGCGTTCTTAACATTTCTGCGAAATTCACTGAGGATGGCGATGAAGATGGAGATGTTATCAATAATGAATTGCGAGCGGGGCTTATGCCGCTCCAAAATCAGCCAAGTGTGATGGAGAATGCGAGGCGTCGCACGCTCAAACGATAACTGTGGCATTAGTGCCATATATCTAAACATACGTATATATACCCAGTATTGTATTTGGGACTTCTTTTGTTTTGGTTTTCTGATTTACCGCTATTCGATGTACGTAACTGTTGAGAGAAGTATCCACGGAAGTATCTCATTCGAACGAGTCGATCGTCATTATTCTCTATTTACGAACTTCCCATGCGTATCATAGCATCATTATGGGAAGCAGACCTCATTCACTCATTCCACTCACAAATACGAACTCCAAAATTTGTATTTGTTTCCATTGATGCGGTTTGACGATGACTCATTTGCATGACATTTGCTTATATCATGCCTCATTCGCATACGCATCCAAAGACAAATTTCTATATTTGTGCCGAAAAATCAGAGACAAAATGAACCTCACTTTGCCGCGAGCTGAACTTTCAACGCAATTATGTTTATAAAAGAAATCGAAACCCGCAATGAAATCGAACTCAATCTCGAAGATCCAAAGCGGTCAACTGCTTTATTGGCTACCACGGATGTGCGAATGCTTTAGGTACACAGAAAGAAAATATTAACTAGAAGAGCTTATTTGCAATAAAGATAAAAGAATGATGAAAAATATATCTTGAAAAAATGTTGCTCATGTTAAAATAAAATTTTACTTGCACCAGATAAGAAGTTATGATAAAGACAATGTCTCTTTCTTATGTTTTAAGCTATCAGTAGTGATAATGTGAGCTACCTGTTTGATTAAACAAGATTTATCATTACCTTAATTATTACAATCAAGATCTTGGAGCATATTTTTACTGATGTTAACTTTTCAATAACATCAAATTTTTTCTACGTGCACTAAACGATCGCCTTCATCAATTTTGACCTTGCTGGCCCTGCTATGCGCGTTTATTGAACCAGCCAGCTGGGGGCAATAGCAACATGGCCCGTCAAAATCGCAAATGAGTTTGGGCATTAATGCTGTGTATATGTTTAGGAAAAATTGCTATCGTGTATTAATTTCATTTTTATAATACTTTTCCAAAACATATGATTGCCATTGCTAAACTTTTAGACTGTCAAATATTTCTTAAGTCACAACAGATGCTTCCTATTTGGTATCCATAAAAGCTTAATGTAAGGGAGTAAAGCTATCGCCCCAATTTATATTTGTATACCTTATGGGCATTACCAATCCATCAAAATCACCCCCAAAATCTGGAAAAGTGGTTGAAGCTCTTTCGATTGACGCGATAAGAGTCTTGACCACGCAATATGCAAGTTAAGCTGCCGTTGAATATGGACAAGCAATTGTCCAGTCGGTCGCCGTTGTCTCTGCTTATCTGTATCTGTGCAATTACTCTAATGACAGGCGCATGTGTACGTACTTGGGCTGAGATACACACATCTATGTCAGCCGCATAATTGCCCCTAATGCAATTGAACAATTAGGCAAGAGCTGCAGCTCAAGCGCAAGCCACACAACCAATGCAAAGTAGACACACAAATGTTTGCACTAAAAGAAACTAATTGTGTATTGGAAGATAGATATTTAAATATTTCTGAAAAATATTTACATCAATATTGTGTTACTTATACGATATTCTCAACCACATGAACTTAAAGAGGGCTTTTAACTCTGATTTCCGTTTTTAAGGTTTTATCCATACGTTAAATTTAAC